AGCCATTGTGTCTTGGACATGGCTCTGAGGGACCACAATACAGACATGGGCACAGCAAACCCTCCTGTGGTGTTTGCCCATCACTCCCCTACACACCTCCCAGGCCAGAGCCTTCCCCCTCCCAGCCTTTCCAGCAGCCCCCAGCCGTGCGGGTGGGTTGTGATGCACAGCAAAGCCCCCTGCGTGCATCCTGGCACCAAGAATAAATCTGGGACTCTCTCACAAGGATCCTGGCCCCAGCTGAGCAAAGGGATGTGGGAGACATCATTGAAAATGTCCCTGTTTCATCAGTTAGGATCTGAACAAGTGCAGCATGGATTTGGTATGGACACAGGCTGAGAGCTGGGCTGGGGCAGCCTGGAGAAGGCTCCTGAAGGGGAGACCTTAGAGCAGCTCCAGTGCCTAAAGGGGCTGCAGGAAACCTGGAGAGGGGCTTGGGACAAGGGATGGAGGGACAGGCCAAGGGGAATGGCTTGAACCTGCCTGAGGGGAGACTGAGCTGAGCTCTTAGGCAGAAGCTCTTCCCTGTGAGGGTGCTGAGGCGCTGGCACAGGGTGCCCAGAGAAGCTGTGGCTGCCCCATCCCTGGCAGTGCTCAAGGCCAGGTTGGACACAGGGGCTTGGAGCAAGCTGCTCCAGTGGAAGGGGTCCCTGCCTGTGGCAGGGGTTGGAACTGGATGAGCCTTTAGGTCCCTTCCAAACCAAACCAGGCTGGGATTCTATGATATTGACACCTATAGTGTTTATTTGCCTGGCTCATGCATAGATCAATCTTCTGGCTTTAAATGTGCTTTGAAAATAATCACTTTCACATAATTACATATAATATTATTTGCCTCCTTCACACTTGTGCACTGAAAGCAGAAAGTTTGGGTGATGCCAAGACAAGAGCTGTCTCTGCAGCATCCTCTTGTCCTTGCAAAAGGCTGCAAAGCTCTGCTTTACCCCCGTGGTCACAGGGAAAGGACCCTGCAGCAAGGGCTGTGTCCTCTTCTGGGTCAGAAATGTCCTTTGTTCACTGGAAGCCACTGACCCCAGAGGAGGAAAGGTCTCAGCTGTGGTCTTTGGAGAGCATCTGAGCCTGGTGCCACCTTCTTGCTTGGATAAAAGGATCCTGGAGCCCTTGAGTCTGCCTTGGGTTTGAGAAGGTTTAAACAGTGGCCTTGAGCTGCACTTCTTAAAGCCCCAAAGAAAGATACAGGCAGGATTAGGGCAAAGCAAGTCCCAAGCTTCACAACGAGTCCCAAGCTTAGGGACCTGCTTTGCCCCTGAGCTTGATTTCTCGTCCTTCAGGCTCCTGCAGACTCAGTCCTGTCACTTAGGAAAGATGCTGCTGCATGTGAAAGTGGAGCAAAGGCCCCGAGAAGAGCAGTGCCTGGGAAAGAGCGAAACTGCTGACAAAGCCCGGCCTGTGATGTGCCAAAATCCCTTTAATTTTGGCGTGGTCAAAGCAACAAAAGGAAACAGACTCGTTTTTCCAGTGCCTATGTATAGACCCATGAGCTCATAGTTTCCTATAGTGGAGAGCATTCAAAGTATGGGAAACAGGAATTTCCACCCCGCCTGGGTGCCAGCAGAGAGCAAACTGAAGCTGAGAGCTCCTCGGCTGCCCCAGATCTGGTCTCGCTGGCCCAGATCCCTTGTTCAGCACTGGAGATCTCGCTGGATGCAAACAGCCCTGGCACCTCCAGTGGCATCAGGAAGGGACCAAGGATGGGGATGCTGACCCCAGGGGTGACTGCGCAGCCTCAGCCCTGGCACGATCCACCTGGAGAGGTTTCCGCCTCCATTTTGGACCATCCCAAGAAAACCGGGGTAACAAGTAGAGTGATTTAGTTCCCGATCCTCCCGAGATGTGGAAGGTGTTGATGTGCTCCAGGGCTCCGTTCAGCAAGGGTCAGGCTTCCTGGCTGCACAGGTCCCCCCTGCGGCACAAGCCTCCCACCCCGGGGTGCTCTCTGTGAGGGCAGATGCTGTTTGCAGCTGCCCCAGTGCATGGGGTGTCCCAGTGGGGCTGCACCCACCTTATTCTCCCAGAAACCAGCCCCGTGTTGTAAGCAACCGCTGTGCCCATGAGCCACTGATACTGCTGCCCACGCTGCACCCTGCCCGGCACCCAGCCACGTGGAAACACCTCTGCCCACGGGGGGACCCAGGACCCAGCTCAGGAGGTGAAAGATGGATCTCCTCCTCTGCCTGTTACAGAGACCCTGCAGAGCCCTGGGCATCTTTGTGAAGCTGGAGGAGCTCAGGGCTGGGAAAGGTTCTGCAGAGCACCTCTGCCCCAAGGCAAGACCTCCCTGTATGTCCAGGTGTTTCCTGGAGGCTTTCCATGATGGAGATGCGGCATTCAGGCCCCTTAATGGTGCAAATCCTGGTCCTGAGGGTGCACAGAGCCAGGAAAGCCATGCAGGCAGGAGCCTTGGGGTCACTGTGCTTGTCCTGGGGAGCTTCTCTGTATGTGACAAGCAGCACCGAGAGCCACTTGGCCAGACTGACGTGGGGCTGGCAGCCCTGTGATCACTGGCAGGGCTGAGGGGTGGATGGAAAGAGTTGAAATTAAGGCAGGAGCGATCCACCCTGTAAGGCTCTACAGGGAAGGTGCTTCTCAGCTTCTTGCTTGGGGTTGGGTGAGGGATGGGCAGCACCCTTGGATATGGGTAAAGCCACAGGGAACCTTCTCTGTGTGTGTTTCCAGCTCGCACATGGCCAAACAGTGACTCAGGAGCCAAGGAGCCACCCACAGCAGCTGAGATGGCCAAGCATGGGGCTCCTGCTTGCCCCGAGCCCTGAGCTCCTGCTGCCGCCTGGTCCATGGCTCCCAGAGGTGCTGGAACCCCTCAGGGTGGGTGCAAGGCAGTGGTGGCCCCACTGCTGCCTGAGTGCATGTGTTGGGCCATGAACCCCCACAGCGGGGCTCTGGTGAATGTCTGACAGTGAAGGATGGGGAGCGCAGGGCTGCAGGGATGAGCAGGGGGGATGAGGAGGGGAGGGGATGCGGGGATGTGGCCAAGGTGTGGGATGAGAGTCATGGTGAGTGGAGGCAAGAAGTGCTTGTCAGGAGCCTGGCCCCTGTGCTGGGTGCTGCAGCTCATGTGCTTTGGGGTCCCAGCATCCCCTCTAAGTGCCTGTTTCACTGGGGTTTGACCCCGGGGATGAGCCCAGCTGCACCTTCCCATGAGGGAAAGCAGCCTCCTGTCCCTGCCCTCCGACGCCTGATGCCGGCTCCTCGCCCACTCCCTGGGCAACCAGGCCAGCATTGGGCCTTTAAAACCCGAACGGGTTCCTCCGCATTCACTCCCCGGGAGCTGTCCCTGTCCCTGCTCCAGCCTTTGCGCAACGCAGCCGCACGGAGCGCGCAGCCAACACCTCTGCGCTGTGAGTCCTGAGTCCCTGTCCCTGCCCAGCGGTGCCCGGCTGCTGGGGACAGCGCATGGAGGAGCCCCTGCCCAGTGCCCTGCAGCAGGTAAGGGGGCTTGGGGGCACAGAGGAGTAGGTGCATGGTGGGAGGGTCTCCTGCAGTGCTGTCGGGGGACACTAAGTCCTTCTTCACTCCTAAACCAGAGCAGGAACCTGGATCTTCTCTTGCATGGGGAGGATGGCTCACTGTCTTTGCTGTGGCCATCCCGGTGCAGGGGGTGGCTCCTGTGCACGGAAAGGGCAGCCAAGGAAGGGATGGCAAACCCTCCAAAACTGGGTTTGAGGATGTCCATGGGCATGGGCATGTGGAACAAGAGGGGTGCAGGCTTGGTTTGGGTTTGAAAACGCTACAAAGTTTGGAAAACCCTGCAGGTTTAATGAAGCTCCAGTGCTTGAACCGGCCTGAGAGCAGGGCGCTGGGCGGAGAAACCCTCCTCGCCGCTCCTTGCCCTCCTCTCCCTTTCCCCTTTCCCCTCTCCCTTCTCCCCTCTGCCTCCCCTGAAGCCGCTTCTCTCCCTGGGCCGTGCCCGGCGCAGCCACAGACCTGGATGCGGACCTGGGGCTCGCAGGGTCCCCCCCGAGCCGCGGGGCAGGGCGGGGGCCGGGGGAGCTGCGCGGCTCTGCCCCGCCCGCTCTGAGTAACCGGGACGCGGAGCCGTGCGCCAGCAGGAGCGAGGGCACGGGGACGGCCTGGCCGCGGGCCTGGGACACCCGCACAGCCCGGGGTGGGTGCTCGCTGCCGGCCCTCAGTCCCCATGGGGGCCTGCGCCCTGACCTGGCCTCCCCCCTGCTCCTTTCTGCATCCACTGAACGGGAGCATCTCCCTTCCCTTGGCAGGTTTGTTTGTGGGATGGGAGTTCCCACCCCCTGCGTGGCATGAGCTGGACCTGGTTTATCTTTACCAGGCACACTCATCCAGACACAGCTCCTTTGAGGGGCTTACACCTGTTTCCATGTAGTTTTGCAGCCAGGGATTATTGCCCCCAGTGGCTCTGGAGCTGAGGTCCTCCCATCATCTCTCTCTTGCCCCAAGGGTCACACTGAGAGGCTTCATTCTCCTGAGAATGCCCTGCCTTGCTGAGACCATGCCTGCTAGCCATTCATTGCGACTGTTAGGGGCCAGAGGACAAAGGCAAGAGAGCAGGGAGGAGAAATGAAGAGATGGATCATAGAATCCTAGAACAGTTCGAGTTGGAAAGGAACTTAAGCTCACCCAGCTCCAACCCCTGCCACGAGCAGGGACCCCTTCCACTGGAGCAGCTTGCTCCAAGCCCCTGTGTCCAACCTGGCCTTGAGCACTGCCAGGGATGGGGCAGCCACAGCTTCTCTGGGCACCCTGTGCCAGCGCCTCAGCACCCTCACAGGGAAGAGCTTCTGCCTAAGAGCTCAGCTCAGTCTCCCCTCTGGCAGGTTCAAGCCATTCCCCTTGGCCTGTCCCTACAGGCCCTTGTCCCAAGCCCCTCTCCAGCATCCTTGTAGCCCCCTTCAGGTACCGATCATGACGGCCATTGGAACACAGACCCGTATTAACCCATCGCACCTCTTCCTCACAGCTGGGGAGTGCCTGTGGCGGGTGCAGGGATGTCTGAGACCTCTTCCAGCAAGGAGAGCTCCCCAGCCGAGTGCCCCGTGTGCTATGAGAAGTTCCAGGCGCTGGAGGCCGCGCAACGCAGGCTGAGCTGCGGGCACACCTTCTGCCACGACTGCCTGGTGAAGTGCCTGCTCTGCGCCAAGCTCGACGGCCAGCTCCAGAGCAGCATCATCTGCCCCGTCTGCCGCTACGTCACCTTCCTCAGCAAGAAGAAGGCTCTGTGGCCACCCAAAGCAGGCACCAGCCCCCAGACGCTGGAGATGCCTCTGTCACCTTCCTGCTTGTCCCATCTGACCAAAACAGAGGCCAGCAACACCTTGGTGGTGCCCAGTCATTTTGTGAAGCCAGTGCAGAGCTTTGACCGGTGCAGCAGCACAGGGAACAGTGCCCTGGATGTGCAGGGGGTCCCGGGAGAGCTGGCGCGGGAAGCCCACATCTTTGTCATCAGCAACCATGGGATGCCACTGGTGGATGCAGACTGTGGCTCCCTGGGGAGGAGGAGCAGGGTGGAAACGTGGAGCTCGGTGTCATCCAGCTCGGCCCTGGGGGTGAAATGCTGCCAGTCTCCCATCGCCCTCGCCGTCCTCCTCATCCTCACCGTGGCCATGCTGGCAGCTGTGCTCCCCTGGCTGCTGCTGGTGAAGAGGGACTCGTAGTGGGGATGGGATCAGCCTGGAGACTAGAGGGGTGTCACTGATGCTGGGACAGAGCTAGGACTGGAACCTGCCCCAAAAGATCCCTGGAGAAAGCCCAGAAGCAGCTTTAGGTGAAGCTCTCTCGTCTGGCCAGGGACTGAATGGACCTGCAGACATTTCTGTGGATCTTCGGGCGCTCACAGTGTCACTGCTGGTGTTTTATGCCTCTTTTGGTTAAAATACGGCAGGTCAAACCCTGCTAGTGCCTTCCTCCAGCGTCAGAGGAGGTCATGGCTCATCCTGCACCCTGTGACAGCATCTGCAGGGAGTGGGGGGGCTTGCCGGTCCCTCCCCTCCATCCCAGCTGCTGGCGGGCTGTGACCATGGCATCCAAGCACCCAGAACCCAAGGACAGCAGCAGATCAGGGCTGCCAGGCTGTGGGGCTTTTGGAGGTGCCCAGGCCCCCCAGGCTCTTGGGATCATCGGGTACATGATGCAGCCACCCTGGAGCAGAAACTCATGGATGTGAAGCTCTATTGGAGCCTCTGGCTACTGGGCAACAAGGACAGTGAAACCAAAGGATGGAGAGAGTGATCCTGACCCCGTGTACTCACCGTCCCCTCCGCCAGCCAGTGCTCACCTCCATGGGAATGGGAAGGGATGCCAGCTCATCCCACAGGCAGTCCCAACCTTGCCCTCCCTCGTATCCCTCCCTTAGCTCCCCAGGATCCTGGACGCCATGGGCATCCCTCCTGCCTTGGGGATCCAGGGACGGGTGGCAAGGTGTGGGGCAGGGAGCTAAACCAAAGGTCTGGCCTGTGTAAGGGGCAGATTTGGGATCCCATCCTGCTCTCCTCCCTGTGCCTTGGCAGAGGGATGTTTCCTTGTCTCTATATCCAGCTCCTGAGGGTTAACACTGGGTGGCTCATTTTCACCTTTGTGGAACACCTCAGGCACTGTCCTCTATGGGCCTGGATTCCCCCAGGGGAGTCTCAGCCCCTCACCCCTGGGCTGGGAGGGGAGTGGACATCTGAGATGCTCAGTTGAGCTCTGGGATACTCTGTGTTTGCTCTCATTGGAGGGAGCTTGCTCTCAGTGGGAGCTGCTGGTCCCTCCCATGCTGGAGCTGCCCAGTGGTGCTGGGGCTCCTCATCACCTTCTTCCCCACCCCAACAGTGTCTGCACCCTCATCTCCACCTTTGTCCTCCTGACCCAGTTGCTGGCCCTGTGGCTGCCACTCTCGGCCCTGTCATTCAGGAACGTGCCCTGAGGTCCACAGTGCTCTCATGGGCACCCCAAACTGACCAGGAGCAGGAGCAGGATGTCCCTCACCATCACCCATGGGTGCACACTGTTCCTGTGCTCCCAGAGAGGCTCCTGCTGCATGGCTGAGCATCGGGTAGGACAAGCACTGCCTTCAGTGCCACCGAGGCAGCCTGGGATCAGCCAGAGCATTGCAGGGGGACAAACGGAACCACTTGGGGCTGGGAAGGGGGATCAGGCTGGTGCAGAGAGCGTGGTGGAATCCCACTCTTCCTCCGGGTTACAGCCAGGGAATGGTGCCTGGGCTGCCACTGCCTGCTCTTGGTGCACTCCCCAGCCCGTGCCTCAGTTTCCCCACCCACACCCGGGCTGCGATGACACTGACCCCTTCACTGGGACAAGTGCTTGAGACACTGCACTGGAATGGGAAGCCTGTTTCTTAAGAACCGATTATCTGATAATGACACCTCCATACCGTGTATTTAATAATAAACCTGATTATTGGTGTGTCTGGGGAATTAATGCGGGGCTCCACGGAGCCAGAGGGCTGCTGGAGGTGGGAGTGGGGCTCCGGGGGTAGGGCTGGAGGAGCCCACTTTTGGCTGCTGTTGCTGGAGGCCTGGAGATACTTGGGCAAGGCATTGGTGATGGGGAAGAGCTCCATTGGCAGCACGGGGCGGAGGGGACCTTTTGTGCTGTGCTGGGGGCAAGCGCAGCGCCAGGGGAGAGCTGGGCTGGGGGCCGGGCATCGCCCCCTCCGGAGACGAGGAGGGCGCTTGCCACAGGGTGGCGCTGCGCGGCCAGGGATGCCGGGGCACGCCGGGGCTGAGCATCCCCTGCCCCTGGTGCGGCTGACATGGTCCAGAGCCCGTTCACACCAGCACCGGCTGCAGCAGCACAGCTCCGTCTGCTGCTCAGGGCCAGCTCCTCACCAACCGTCCCCGCGTCCTCATCTCGTCACCAACCGTCCCCACGTCCTCAGCTCGTCACCAACGGTCCCCATGTCCTCAGCTCGTCACCAACCGTCCCCACGTCCTCAGCTCGTCACCAACCGTCCCCATGTCCTCAGCTCGTCACCAACCGTCCCCATGTCCTCAGCTCATCACCAACCGTCCCCATGTCCTCAGCTCATCACCCACCGCCCCATGTCCTCAGCTCGTCACCAACCGTCCCCACGTCCTCAGCTCGTCACCAACCGTCCCCATGTCCTCAGCTCCTCACCCACCGCCCCATGTCCTCAGCTCGTCACCAACCGTCCCCATGTCCTCAGCTTGTCACCAACCGTCCCCATGTCCTCAGCTCCTCACCCACCATCCCCACATCCTCTCCAAATCCTCCTCACCCCCGAGCAGCAGGGCCCATGTTTGCTGTTCCCAGGATTGTGAGTGTCTGATTTTTAGGTCAGAGTTTGCTTGCATCTGGGAAAGATGCTCCCTGCCCCTTCCTGTGCAGAGGGAAAAGCTGCCATCATCCTATTTTCTTGTTATTAGAACTGATGGCTGGAGCCAGGCCTCTCTGAGCCCTTTTGTGCTGATGGCCCCTGGGGGCCATGTTTGGATCTCCAGCCATGCAGAGCACCTCGATGCTGTGTAGCTTATCCTCCCACGGGGCATATGCCCATTAGAGGATACTGGGGCCATTTCCAGCTCAGTGCTTTGGTTTATCATGGTCACCTAATGTCTCAGGGGTAACTCCTGAGCTGTGCATACACCAGGGGCATGTTTCCAGTTGCTGGGGGACATCCGCATGGGCAGGAGAGGGTCCCAGGAAACCCTGTCCACTGCTGCAAAGGGACAGAGCAGGGAGGGTGGCAGGCGTTCCCAATGCAGCATTTAACAGGTTCTCCTGCACAGCATCCAACCATTAACCCTCAGTGGTCTTCCACCACTGCCTCCACCCATCACCATGGCATCATTTGACTGCAGGTGATGTCCTGCAGGCAATCAGCACATCCTGCTAAGGGCTCTGCAGCACCTGGGGTGCCAGCTCATGTGTCCTCAATTGTCCTCTGTTATCTCCTTCCCTTCCCCTGCCTCAAAGAGCTGGGATGTCTGCAGGCCTCACTATCCGCTAGCTATTGACCTCAGAGCAGCTTCCAGTGTCTGAAGGGGGCTACAAGGGTGCTGGAGAGGGACTCTTCATCAGGGACTGTAGCCATAGGACAAGGGGTGATGGGTTCAAACTGAAACAGGGGATGTTCAGGTTGGATCTAAGGCAGAAGCTCTTCCCTGTGAGGGTGGTGAGTCTCGGATTCTATGATTCTCTTGCCTGTTGGTACCCCACCACTGCTGTACCCCTTCTCCCTCTGCAAGCTGATCTCCAATGGACTGTCCCCTCCAGCATGGGCAGCACTCCCAGCAGATTCCCTGGCTGGAGAGCACACACTGACCTTCCCACACTAACAGCTCAGGATCTTTGCATGATGGCAGCAGGGCTGTGAACCCTGGGTAATGGCTTCATAATGCATCATTAGCAAGAGAGGGTGGCATCCTTATGGCATGGAGATGGGAGAAGTGGGAATTGCGCGGGGCCCAGGAGTGCTTACTGGCCAGACACGTCAGCAGGCTCCATTAGGAACCAGCCTCTGAAAGCCCCAGCTCCATCAGCTGAGATCTCACCATGAATAATTGAGAAGGAGCCTCCTCCAAGCTCCCTCCCCTCCTCTGCACCCAGCCAGGGCTCCTGGAGAGCCATGGTCCATTGGAGGCAGCCCGGTTAGTCCAGTGTGGCCAGTGTGGGACATGGACAAGGGATGACACTGCCCTAGCTGGCTGTCCCTTAAGCCTGTGTCTCTCCAGCCAAGATCCTTTGAGCTCCATCTCCAGTGCATGGCAGCCACCTTTTTACATTGTCCTCCTGTGCCAGCATGTGGGGCATGGGCATGGGCTGGACTCTTCTTCTTGGGCTTTGCACAAGAGGGGGGCCTACAATGGGAGGTGAGGCAGTGCACGAGGGGCTCAGCCTAGTGTCCTCCTGTGGGATCAGTGCTCATGGAAGGGGTACAGGCACTCAGCTGAGGGACCATGGGGACAGGAGCCAGCCCCTTGGTGATGCTCTGGTTTCCAGCAGAGCTCCAGTATGTGCCTGGTGCTGTGCTGTGCTGTGCTACTCTGCACTGCCTGGCAGCAGCACCCCAGGACACATCCTGCTCAGCTGGCTCGGGAGGTTTTGCACTTCCCTGTGTCATTGTTACACATCCTTTTGTCAAAACCTCATCGACCTACCATGAAAACAGCCCAGCCTGGAATGTCATCAAAAGACTGCTCTTTCCTACCAGCAACTGCTGGCAAAGACATGGAGATGGAGGTTCTAGGAAGAGCTGCTTTTCCACAGGTCTCTTTTTAAATGATGTCCCAGTTTGCCATAGCAAATTGAGCTGGGAAAAGCACTTCCCTTGTCTCAGGTCTGACTTCTCTGCTGTCTATGGCCAGTGCCCCCCATGGTCGCTTGCAGCAGACTCATGGCTGGAGCTCCCATTGCTGGGCGCAGCAGGGCTCAGTGAGGCTGAGGTGGGATGAGCCCAGGGGTGCTGCAGGGGTAGTACTGGGCACTCAATTCACTGTGCATGGACAGATCCCGGCACACATGTGCAGGAGCTATTACATGTCCTTTCCACAGCAGAGCTGAAGACAAGCAGGGTTTGTTGCCTACCACCATCAGGGCTGCCTGAGTGAGGGAAAGGCAGGGGTTTAATAAGAATCTGTGCTGAGAATCAACTGTACAGGATAGGAAAGCCTAAGGTTACTTTACGGTAAGGTGTGGAGCCTCCTAGAAAACCCATCCTGCCCCATCAGATGCCTCAAGGGTCAGAGCCGCCTGACCCTGGTACAATACAGGGAGCCATGTGGGAGCGCATCCCTGGGGAGGCTGATGACTGCATCTGCTGGAGTGAGCTCTGGGCCCCGACCAGCTCTGGCTCCTGTCCTCATGGAAGCGTTTGGACCTGAGGTTTTCATTCCTTGGAACTGGTACTGAGAGCAGCCATGGAACACTGGGGAGCATCAGGGACTGCTTGGGTCAGAGCAGCCATGGAACACTGATGAGCACGAGGGACTGCTTGGGTCAGAGCAGCCATGGAGCACTGCTGAGCATCAGGGAACACTTGGGTCAGTGTCTCTTGTCTCCGTGGCTGCTCAGTGCTGGCAGTGCCAGCAGCTGCCCCTGTTGCCGGGCTCCGGAGCAGCACCGCGGGGATGCGGGTGCTGGACAAGGCCCTTGTGTCACCAGGAGCTGCTCTTCAGCATCGCACCCGAGCGCTGCAGCGGAGCCCCTGGGCGAGCGCTTTCAGCTGCTGGTGGTACCCGCCCGCCCTCCCATCGCTGTCGCCGGTGGCTGCAGCGCCCAGACGTGCCTCCAGATGAGCAGCAATGAGCTGCTCCCGTCTGCTCCTGCGCTGGAGCCCAGCCAGAGCTGGGGCCGGCGCTAGCGTTAGGGGAGGCTGGGCACGGCGAGGGGTGAAAGGGACCTGCT